TTTGTTGTCATGTATAGAGTACCTATTTTGCTTCCACGAGCCACGACCAAGGATCCCTTGGTGATTTTCCACAAGCCACCTATAAAATTAACTGCGTGCCTATCGTTATCATGTTGTCCCACAGAGATCAAACTTCTCTTCAAGCCAGGAACATGCCTCACATTCTGAATCTTCCATACAGCCCTATTAGATTGCCTGATCCTAATATCACCTTTACCCACAATATTCAAGGCTCATCATCAGCCGGATAAACCTTTCCGAAATCACCACTAACATAGTTTTCCATAATTTTACGATGTGAGGTAGAGTGAAAGGATGCACCTGAATCTAGAACCCAAGACTCAACTGGACTATCTACACTTAAAATTAGAGCATCAATAATCTCTTCTCTGATGGCGTTTACAGATTCCTATTTTCCTTCGCTCTTTTTCGTTGGTGCTCGACACTTAAACCTTAAATGCCCCTTCTTTCCACAGTTCCTGCAGGTTCTAATTTTCAACTTGCTTCTATGTTTGGATTTAGATTTACTGTGATCCGAGTATAATCTTTCAAAAGTTCTTCCTCTTCCCTCAGTATTAAAATAGATCCAAATGATTCCCCTGTTTCCCTTCTGCGAATATCTTCGCTGAGGATCAAGTCTTAAACATCATCAAACTTCTATTTTCTTTTTCCTGAAGAATTACTCACTGTTGTAACAGTATCGTTCTAGCTTTCTAGTAAAGATGATAAGAGAAGTAGCGCCTTAATCTCATCATCAAACTCGATCTTTACAAAGCTTAACTGAGTTGTAACAATGTTAAACTCATTCAGATGGTCAATCACTAAAGTGCCCTCTGACATTCTTAGGTTGAATAATCGCCGTATCAAATATACCTTGTTAGACGCAGTGGGTTTCTCATACATATTTGAAAAGGCAGTCATCAAACCTGTTGTTGTCGTCTCCTTTGCTATGTTGAAGGCAACGTTGCGCGACAGTGTCAATCGAATGACCCCTAGTGCCAGCCGATCAAGAAGAGCCCAATCATCATCCTTCATCTCTTTTGGTTTCTCTCCGGAAGGAGGGTGAAACAACTTCTTTTGATACAGATAATCCTCAATTTGTATCTTCCATAACCCGAAATCTGCACCATTAAACTTGTCGATCTTGATATTTCCTTTTTTCTGTACCCATCACTCCCAATCGAACCTAATGGCTCTGATACCAGTTGTTGCAAAATTAAACAGAAAACACAAGAAATAGATCAAACATACACACGCAATAAGAACACACAGATTTTACTTAGTTCACCCAAAATTCAGGACTACATCCAAGGGTTGCAGAGATTTCACTATGATGATCAAAAAACGGCTACAGATATAGGGAGTTCAGTATTAATAGATATCCTCGCACTAGGGCAACATAGCAAGTGCGAAAATAACTAAAATACCCTCCAAATAAGTTGGGCCTTGGCGTATAGTATCTATCAGGCTCCACACTACCCATTAACGCACCGGCAGAGCAAATCCAAGTGCCACCAATCATGGTTGGAGTTAACACACAGTTCCTCTAAACACACACAAACCACTTCATATGATTATATGATTCAAGACTGATGATTAAACTTCATGCATACAATTAAATTCGAATCTAATCAATAGACATCCATTGCCAAAATTTTGCATCGATGGATGCGAAGCTATATACACAATTTATAAGTTGAATATCTCAATTCTCTTATTCTTGATTTCTAAAAGAAAAAATCTAACCTTAACAATGGCTATGATACCAATTGTTGGGTTTTAATCAAATAATTCACATGTAGAAATCAAGAATACTATAATTAATTAAAGAGAGAATTTAGCCTCGTACCTGATTGATGATTAAACCATCGAGTACTTTCAATTATTAAATAAGAACCTTATAACCTTTGAGAATTTCTTACAAAACATTAGAGTGTTTTACCGCCTTCTGAGAGTTATCCTTCGATAGGGATGAATAAGGGTTTTAAAACCCTTATATATAACAACAACATGGGATGTCTTCTCAACAAATAAAGATACCTTAGTTTCGTTTCTATCATGGAAACTTGGATAATATTAATGGTTAAAATTAAATCACACCAAATAAGTCAAAAAATCACAATCCAACAATACAAAATCATACTCACAATTAGACCACCAAATTGGAAAGTATAACCCAATCCATCAAGTATCAATAATCTCATTGCAATCCTATTTTAAAAAACGTAGTGCATAAGACCAAAAAATAATTTTTATTATTTATATATAAATATTTCCGAACATGACATCCCTAAGGAGATAGGTAGTTTGTGTTGACTAGAAGTCGATCTGATTTTCATTCTTAATGACTTTATGGGAAACATTCCTATAGAAATTGGCAAGCTTGTTAATCTGAAGATTTTGGACATTAGGTGGAACCAGCTTCTGGGATCCATACCAGCCTCCATCTTCAACATCTCCTCACTGGAAAGAATTGATTTAGCCAATAATAGTTTGTTGTCAAAAAACTGATTCAATGGAGAAATACAAAGAGAGATTGGGAACTTAACTTTCCTAAAAGAGTTTTATCTTAGCGGAAACAACTTGAAGATAAATTCTTTTTTTGTTCTCCCTTGCTATGCCCATGCTTGCTTACATATGGATAGGGATGGCAATTCATGTTCGTGGGTCATAATCGTGTCCAGCGGATGTAAGAGTATTATACTAAACAGGTAAATCCAAACCAAACCATTTTAATAATCGTGTTAAAAACCCTCAACACTAACCTAACATGTTTATTAAACGTGTTAACCCGTTTAATGGTCTGTTTATCAAAACGAGACATTTAATATTTAATGAAATAATAAATAAATAAAAAGTGTCACAATTAACCCAAATATTCAAAATAAGAAGAAAAATCATAAGGCATAAATAAGGTTTATGTTGAAATGACTTCACTATCCATAGTAATTGGACTTAAACAGGTAACATATTACATATGTTATATTCACGATTATAACATGTTGAGTTAAACGGGTCATAAACGGGTTACACGGGTTAAACCTCTCAACCTTAACCCGACATGATTAAGTAAACTGGTTAATCGTGTCCGCCCGTTTATAACCCGAACTCAATACATTCAAATATATAAATAAGTAATTTGCAAGCAAAATTTTTTCTTTATACTAAAAAATTATTTTGTTCCAGAAATATATTTTAATAGATTATTTGCAACCCAGTTATAGAACTAGATAGATTAATTTAGAACTTATGTGGACTCACTCTTCCAAAGGGCATTCTGATTAAGTTTTGGTTTAGTGTATAAAAGCAACGAGAACATGATGTAGTGATAGAGTTAGATTAAAAAAGACGGACATCCATGACCAAAATATTAAAGATTAATTAATCTTATGGCTTCCAGAAAAGGTGAACGTACAATAAGCGAAAGAAAGTTGCTTTTTTAAAACTTTGATCGAAAGGCCTATCTTAGATTAAAATGATTCTATACATATAGAGACCATGATTTACTTACCCAAAAAAAAAAACCACAAAGTAGGATTTGCGAAGAGATTAGTTGTGTTTCATTGCAATCATTTAGTTTTAAATAAATGTACAAATTAGCTGTGTTTAAGTTTCACATGTTTGGTTGTAGACATTTGAATTAAATCACAATCTTAAGTTGCTCAATAAAAGATGATAATGGTTCTTTGTTGTACTATAAATGTATAACTGTAGCAGCGGGGTGTGTCCTCAAGTTACATGCTATGTTGGAAAACAGCTTTGTTTAAATAGAAAGCCTATAATATACTTTAAAAAGAGGTTAATTTGTTGGTAATTTTGTAATACCCGTGCAGGTAAAATTCCACAACAACTGGGAAATCTTCATAATTTGGAGATACTATCAATTCAGGAAGCTGGCCTCACTGGTACCATACCATCTTTTGTCTTTAACATTTCTTCTTTGAAAGAGATTTATCTCTATAGCAATCACTTCATTGGTAGTCTCCCGCGTGGTATGAGCTGGCATCTTCCTACGCTCCGGATACTTAATCTTTACAGAAATGAACTGTCTGGAAGTATTCCAAGAGAAATTGGAAACTCTACTTCATTGATTCAATTATATCTGGAGGAGAACAATTTCACAGGTATATACCCTCTTAATTATCAAGCATATCCAACTTTCTTAATTTAAATAACTTCTTCTCTTTTTTTCCTTTTTTCTTTTTTCTCAATTGATGGGAGCTTATTAGAACATCTTCACATAAACTTTACTATGTGAGATCACCAACAGAAAGAAAGATGTAGTACTTGCTAAAATGTACATAAGAGAACTGGTAATCATTGCATTCTGCATATGCCAATAATTTACTTGTTTTTGTGTTATAATATATACATTTTAATTTGCAGGTGCAATACCAAAAGAGATTGGAAACCTTCACGATCTGGATTGTTTAGGTTTAGATTTGAATAGGTTAAAAGGTTCGATTCCGGAAGCAATTTTCAACATGTCAAAACTACGATTACTTTCATTGGTTAACAATTATCTTTCAGGCAAACTTCCGTCAAGTATCAGGTTACCCAATCTTGAAGGATTATACCTTAGTGGAAATCACCTCAACGGAATTATCCCTCACTCTATCTCAAATCTTTCTAAACTCACTATTTTAGAACTTTCTTATAATTCTTTTAGTAATTCAATTCCCAACTCACTCGGTAACTTGAGAAAACTTGAATTTCTAAACCTAGCAGGGAATAATTTCAACAGCGAATCTCCAAACTAAGAATTAAGCTTGATCACTGCCTTGCCAAATTGCAGACACTTAAGAATATTGTGGATAGATAACAATCCTTTGAATGGCATCCTTCCAGTTTCCATCGGGAATTTTTCCACTTCACTTCAAGATATCGATGCAAGTTATTGTGAAATTAAGGGTAGCATTCCTAACCATATTGGTAACTTGACCAATTTAGCTTTCTTAAGTCTAAGTGGCAATGGCTTCACTGGATCTACTCCAACCACAATGAAAGAGTTGCAAAAGCTTCAAGTTTTAGATCTTGGATTTAACAGGATACAAGGCCCCATTCCAAATGATCTTTGCCACGTACACAACTTGTTTTTATTAGCTCTGAATGAAAATGAATTTTTTGGTCCAATTCTAACTTGTTTAGGGAATATTACATCTCTAAGAAAACTCTTTCTGGATTCCAACAAATTAACCTCCACAGTGCCCATAAATTTGTTCAGGCTCAAAGATATTTTGTATTTGGACTTGTCCTCAAATTCTTTAAGTGGCTATCTTCCCTCAGAGATTGGAGCTCTAAAGGTTGCAATAAAAATAGATCTATCAGTAAATAACTTTTCAGGTGATATCCCTAGCACAATTGGAGGTGTGGAAAGCTTAATCTATTTTTCTTTGGCACACAATAAACTACAAGGACCTATTCCTCAGTCATTTGGAGACTTGATAAGCTTGCAATACTTGAATCTATCTTACAACAATCTCGTAGAAACAATTCCAAATTCAATGGTGTCACTCTTGCATCTTCAATATTTTAATGTATCTTTCAATAGGCTAAGCGGAGAAATCCCCACCGGAGGACCATTTGCAAATTTCACAAATCAATCATTCATGTCAAATGAAGCACTATGTGGTGCCCCGCAATTTCAAGTCCCACCCTGTCGTTCAATCTCTCTTCACAGTTCAAGGGAAAAAAGAGTGTTGCTAGTTGTTTACATTTTGTTGCCAATTGTTCTAATTGCCTTGACCTTCGCATTTGTATCAATAAGATGCCAAAAGAGAAAAAGAAAGTCAATTGAAACGGAGTTGTCACCCACTTTAGGACATGGTAGAATTTCATACCGAGAACTTCTACGTGCTACTAATGGTTTTAGTGACAGCAATTTGTTTGGAACAGGAAGTTCTGGTTCTGTTTACAAAGGGATAATTACAGATGGGACCATTTTGGCAATCAAGGTATTCAATTTGCAACTAGAAGCTACATCCAAGAGTTTCGACACGGAATATGAAATGTTGCGCAACATTCGTCACAGAAATCTCACCAAAGTTATCAGCAGTTGCTCCAACCTACATTTCAAAGCCTTGGTACTCCAATATATGCCTAATGGGAGTCTTGAAAAGTGGTTGTATTCTCATAACTATTTCTTGAATATCTTTCAGAGATTAGATATAATGATAGATGTGGCGTGTGCACTGGGTTATCTCCACCATGGTTATTCAGTACCATTGGTTCACTGTGATTTGAAGCCTAGTAATATCCTACTAGATGAAGATATGGTCACACATGTCAGTGACTTCGGAATTTCAAAGTTCTTGGATGAGGGGGAAAGTATTGCACACACCAAGACTCTCGCTACTTTGGGATGTATAGCACCAGGTAAAGCTTTTAACTTCATTTTTTATTCAAAGCTTACTTTATGTTTTCTTTCTTTTATTCCTATAAGTATTTTAAGTTTTCCTTTTATCGCAACATAATTTTTAATTGGTGTTTTATTATCCTTCTACATATGAATTCTTTTGACTAATTCTAATGTTAGACATAGAGTATGGATTGGAAGGACTAGTATCCACAAGGTCCGATGTTTACAGTTACGGTATTATGTTAATGGAGACGTTTACAAGGATTAAGCCCACTGATGATATGTTTGCTGGAGATTTAAGCTTGAAGCTATGGGTAAGCGAGTCACTACCTAATGCGATAATTCAGGTTATAGATCCCAACTTGCTCATGCCAGAAGAAGGACAAATCAGTGCAAAGGTGTTGTGTGTATCATCCATCATGCAATTGGCTCTGAATTGCTGTGCAGAACAACCACGGGAGAGGATCAATATGGAAGAAGCCCTGGTAACACTAAAGAGGATCAAACAAAAGTTTCTTGCAGACGGGGAAAGGCGAGAAACATGAAGGTATCTATTTTATATTACTTATAATTGTGAATATAATTTTGTAAGGCATTTTTAGAACATAACCTCATCTTAAGAGGGTATTTCTTTCCAAATATTTCTTTAATAAATTAATTTATACAACTAACTTCCAAATATTTCTTTAATAAATTAATTTATACAATTAACTTCCAAGCCATAGGAATATATTGTAATTTTACCTTAGTATGTGCCACTTGTATTAAGTTTCTAACTTCCATTTGTCCAAGATTGCTTATATCAAGGATAATAAGCAAAACAAAACAAAAAATCAGATATAATGTGCTGATGGCGTAATTTTATGGCAACATATTGCATTACTTTGAGAGGTAAAATTGTTGGTAGCTCCTCCATGGTATGAGAACTACGTCACAAAGGAAGTTTCCTCAAATTGAAATCAAGGTGGATTGCTGGTCACGTTTAGAGACACATATATATTGTTTATTTTTCATTTCCAAAAAGATAAAAAAATAAAAATAAAAAATGGATATATATGGTGTTGTCTTTCAAATTGTTTTTTTTTTTTCTTTTCTTTTCTTCTTCTTCTTCTTTTTTTTTTTTTTTTTTGGTTGGGTGAGTTGAACCTGTCTCCCACAAGTCTCGGGGAGTGCTTCTACCAACTGGACTACCCAACTCACCCTAATTGTCAATCAGATTGTCAGTTCATTTAATAAATCCTCTTTGGGATCTAGTGATCATGTATTGTTTCGCCGTTTATATTCTATATTTTCTAGTATCATGTATGTTTTTATGTTTCATGGTACCTATACATAATATTTTTTTATTATGACTTGCTCATCTTTTGTAACATCATAAAATAAAATAAAATATGTGAAAACGGATTAAATAATGATTAATGCAGTGTCGAATCACATATCATGTTTATAATAACCCTTGTAGTTTTAGGTTTTATTGTGTGATTTAGTTCTTGTTATATTTTAAAACTTTGACCGAATTTCCAAAGGAAAACAAAATCTAGTGGCCTAAATTTTATAGAAAATTTTCATTTGTTGCCACTTTACGACAAAAATGTTGCGATACATCTCATTGGAAATGTGTCCAGTGGACAATTCCTCTTTTTGCACAAATCAATGGATTTGAAATTATGGGCATTGGGCTTGAATGAAAACATGATAATTGACATTGGAATATTAAAAACAAAAGTCATATGATTTTTGTTTATGAATATGGGAGTAATATATATATATTTTTTTACTTTTTTGTTTTAGGGTTAATTACAATGACACCTCCTGAGGTTTGCTATAATAACAGTTATATACAAATTAGATTATTTTTGAACGATGATACCCCTTTAAGTTTGATAAAGTTAACAAAGACACCCCTATAAGAATTTTTGATCCAAACATGCCCTTAAAAGGTGAGAAAAGACTAAATTACCCTTTAATAAAATACTAATTTTTGATTTAAAATATCCAAATCTTCAAATGACAAAATTACCCTTATTAATCCTAATTTTATCTCTATCCTCCTTCTCTAAAAACCTAGAAATTTTTCCCAGAAACCACCACCACCGCTTCCACCATTGCCACCAAATGGGTTCAGTGAGAATTATTGCATACTATTATTATTTTTTTAATAAGTAATAATCAATGTTTTCTCTATGCCCATCCAAAGTGTTTCTTCAATTTTGTGGGCAAAAAAAAAATTATTTCTTGAAAGAACGAACAGGGGCGATAGTGGTAGAGAAAGGGGAGGCAGTGCCGGGCCTTTGTCGAAGCATCCATTGGCCGTGGAGACTCGATGGCGAGCTTGCGAGCAAGGTGGAGAGCTTGGCTGTGGATGATCTGTGACCGGCGATAAGAGAGACGGCAAGCTCGGTCGGTGGCTATGGACTGATGAGACAGATCCGGTGAGGGAGGTGTAGGATGGCGAAGATAACGGAATCGGAATCGGAATCGAAGCCGTTCGCGAGAAACTCATGTTTGATTTCTAACTCACCGCCGATGAGAAGAAAGTTTCAATTGAGAAAGATTTCGAACTCCCGACTTCGGCGAGACCATGGAATTTGAGAACTCGAAGAGCAGCTTGTAAAGAGCCTAACAATTCTGCCGCCGCCGGCAGTAGCTCAAAGGGAGCGATCTTGAGGGGCAAAGAGCCGTGGAGTAGTAATGATAAGCTGTCGCCGGTAAGAGCCGAGAGTCCGATGACGAAGGCCAAATCGAGTCGAATGGGAGGATTGGCGGTGGCTGCTAGGACGGCGCAGTGTTTAGAGAAGAGAGAGTAGTTGGAGCGACCTAGGTTTTCAATTTCTCTTTCTTGAGAAGAGATAGTGAGTGATTTTTTGGCGATGACAGGAACGAAGCCGAAGAGAAGACCAATGAAGTAGAGGCCAAAGATAGTTCAGAAAAATTTGGACGTAAGAACACTATCAATTCTTATATCAATTTCAGCAATTCAATTTCTACACCAAATTGTTCGATTATTGCTTTGATTTTATTTCTCACTAATCTATTCTACAAACTTGTTGCAGTCTGTTTTTCCAGGCTTGTGGTTGACCGAAGTAACATTAGATCAATACAAAGTTCCTGATTTCCAAGAATCAAGATGGCGGCGGCAGATGTGGATGAGGCGGTGGCATAGGTGGAGGCCGAAGGAGGCGGTAAGATTGTTGAAGTGGAGAGAACGTGGAAGTTACGGTGGTGTAGGATGGTAGGTAGGTGGCGATGGTGCTGCCAGGCTTTTTTGTTGGACTTGGTTATATATATATATATATAAGATGGTGCTGATGTAATAGTGTATATGTATAAGGGCAAATTTGACTTTTCATAAGTTCTGATATTTTATTATAAAAATGAATTAAACATTAAGGGCAATCTCGTCTTTTCAAATGTTTTAAGGGCTTGTTTGGATCCAAATTCTCATAAAGGGTGTCTTTGTTAAAAAAAGAATTAAGTTATATATGGTTGTCAATATGTCAAACCTCAGGGGATGTCATTGTAATTAACCCTTTGTTTTATTAAGGAGATTTAAATTCTTGACCTTGTACTTTAGAAGGCGAGAAAGTATTACTAGACTACAACCTATGGTGATTAGAATCACATTTAATGTAATGACCCAAAAAGATATCGGTCGACTAGTACAAAAATTCGGTCGACGGACATGACATGTGCAGAAAAGAGTCCTACTACAACCTGTTGTAATGCATATGAAATGCAATGGCTTCACTTGAGCCTTTAAAACTGAACTAACATGCTCCAATGCACAATGTAAATAATAAACCTTAATCCAAAATCTACAACATCAACACCATACTCAAAAGCATTCATCATCATCCCATTCACCTCCAAATATATATAAACATAACTATTACATGCATCATTGGCTATTAGTAGGACATTTGAAACTTATGTCAAATACAAACAAGGTTCTTGACTTCATTTACAGTCCACGATACACAAAATGTACATGTCTTAATAAAGTTATGCAAAATGAGACTTAGGTACAAGAGGTAACAATATAAACTTCTAAAATCCTGCCTACGCCTACTTATCAAAAAAAAATAATAATCCTGCCTACGCTAGTGCTGGAACATCGTCCGTTACTTTCTTTTCGTGTCCTAAAAAATGTTTAAAAGAAGAAGTGAGCACAAGGCTCAATAGAAGTCACCTAAGGTGTCAATTTTAGACTTCCTTGAGCCACATAACATATAAGAGAATAAAGAAACTGGGAACATGCTTTGGGAATCCATATAATGATATTTGCATTCCAAACAAATATTTACTTCAACAACACAACACCTTTCAAAGATATGCCATGTATGATATGAAATGCAATGCACCCCTTCCCATGCCTAGTCTCTACCGACCCAACTTCCCATTTTCTAAAACCGCTAACTGACTTTACAAAGGCGAGAATGACAACTATCTCCGGTTCCAAATCTGGCAACCGTTTCAAGCCTAGTATCAACTTTTTCACGCCCAACACCGAGCCGCGCTCCCTCCAGGTCAAGCTAGTCCCGGACTCACGAAATCAGGTTCATTTAAAAAAAAAAAAAAATCCCATTTTTAATAAACCTTTCCTTTTAAAAAAAAAACTTCCTTCCTCAAAACCCTTTTCAAATTCCCTTTTTCATGCCATGTCATGCAATACAATGCACCATGTTACAACCCCTTAACAACAACTCATCATAACAATAATAATGTGCACATGATGTTCACAATTTAAAGAATTTAAACAAAACATAGTATAGCAATTAATCAAGATCATGATATACACTGAAAATTTAATAATACAAAAACATTCTTCACATCATTATTTCAAGGAAAACATTCACAAGAATTATTCATAGGCATGCTCAACATAGAATTATATACAAAATGTCATGCCATCTATTAAACATTAATACTACTTCTCATATAACAAAACCAAGTAAGCCTTTAACACAAATTTTAGCCAATTTATGCTTTAACACTTACAGACATTCATAAAACCATAATTTCATATCAAAGTTTACAATAATATATATATATATATATATATATATATATATATATATCACAAAAGGAATTAGAAATTGCTCAAATAAAAGACAAAACTAGGTGCATTAGGGAGACCCCTACCTCACTAGAAGATCAAACCAAGCAAAAACTCCAATTTCAGCCCCAAAAACCCCAAAAATTTGAATTTTCAAGAGTGGCCAAAATGAACTTTGCTCTGATCAAAATGTAGGCCTCTACGCGCTCGTCGACTTTGCCTTCAGTAGCAAAGTTTAAATCCCAACAACACAACCTAGATCTGAGCTTGACGTTGTGTGAGAAAAATAATAATAATAATAATAATAATAATAATAATAATAATGAAAATGAGAGAGAGATATATTTCGTAAATGAAAGATGAAGGAATGGAGTTCAGTAATGACCATAAGGTCATTTGTAAAGGCATGCTACAAGAGTGGGCCCTATAACATAGTAAAATCTCACTATATAATATTATATCATAAATATATATATAACTAAATTACAA